CAAGAGATACAAGTCTTGTCTAGTCTCTCCCTCGCATCATAAATAAAAATTATCTTTGGTTTTACCTTAAGCACTTTTTAACCTCTCCCCCAGTGCTTCAATTACTCGTTGGATACCAAACAAGTCTCTACCACTTCCTGTTTTTTGGGGTGCAAGTGTGAAAGGAAAGTTCCTTATAATCAAAACTTTGACCTGGCCAACTTCTACAATTTCAAGTACCTATCAAAAACAAATAAATAAATAATTCCAGCACCATGGTCAGCATAGTTTGAACTAAAACTTTCAACATGTTGTTTCAAGCATAAATAAAATTAAACCATGTCAGCTGGGCTGCAGGGAATGTACAGTGATACAAACTCCTAATTCCAAGCTCCCTACGTAATTTTAGTCATCAACAGGGATCCTGGTTTTCTATTAAAAGAAAAAATCTTGACTTCTCCGATTAAAAAACCTAAAATCCACAATTAAAATGAACCACTGTATGTATGTATGTATCAATTGAACACAAAGCTTTATTTCTATATTTACAATTTTAAAGCAATTTGGAAGTCTACCAGTCCCTCTATCACTATGATAAAATGAACTCTAAGTTCCTATAAATCTTGGTATTTAATTTACAAATTGGGGTTTGTTTTTTTTATCATGGAAAAATCAGAGCTCCTCTGGCCCCTTCACTCACCATGACACAAGTCCAGGCCCCTCACTCCCCACCCCGCCAGAAGGGTCCCCCAGCTGCCAAGGCTACAGAGCCAAGAACCCAGGTCCACAGCCCCCTACCCTTCCCTGCAGTGCCCGAGCCCTGGCTACAGCCTGTAGGAGGCAGAAGCTCCTGCAGCGGAGCAGAGCTTGTAGCCCAGCTCCCCCTCCCCCTCCCCCACAGGTGCCACAACCAGAGTGGAGCTACTGGGGGCAGAAGGGGACAAATGCAGGCTTCCTGCTGCGGGCTCAAGCTCCCTGCCTTGCTGTCCTGCCCTCGGGGCCTCGTTGGCCCAGTGGGCGAGACTCAACACAGCTGTGCAAAGCAGGGCTGGGTGGGGAGGCTTGTGCTGCCACCATAAGCCAAGCACCACCATAGCAAGGAACCTCCTGTCCGCCTGGTAGTAGCAAGGGCACAACTCCATGTCACCACCCCAGCCCACAGCACAGATCTGGGGGACACATGCTCCCCCTGCCCCTCCTTGGGGTGTGTGCAGCAGCAGGGAGCCAGCTCCCCCCTCCCCCCAGATAAGCCTCCTGTGGCCCTGTCCCACTCCCCGCAGCCACCCATTCTGGTCCTGGGCCCCAAGCCCCAAACTGGGCAGCAGCCCTAGCCCCAGCCCTGCCCAACTCCCTCCCTATAGGGGCCTCAATCCCAGCTCCCCATCCTGACTTACCTGCAGGAGCTGCTCTCCTGGCTGCCTGTCAGCCGCACGCGCGCACATGCACATGACACCCCCCGCCTGACTGCCCTTGTCCCACTCCCACTAGTCCCTTGCAGGCTGGAACTCTGCCAGCCTGCAGATCGCTCTTTGCAAAAGTGGAAAATGTGCACTTCTCCATTAAAAAGAAAAATCTGTGTTTTCCTTGGTTAGAAAGGGAACTCCACATTTTCTTGTTTCTCCACGGGAAACAGAAAACCCAGATTGCTGATCAAAAAAATAGTCTAGAACCTGGCGCAGCAGCCTCACCACTCTTCATTTTGAGGGCTCATCAGTGGCACCAGGATCTCATCAGATTACTGAATATCTATAGTGATTTGCTGTGATTCACATTATTCATATCCAATTACCTGCGTACGGTCCTTGCATCGGGGTGGGATAGAATCAATTCTGAAATGTGCTCAAGGGGCAGAAAAAAGTTGCTTGAAAGAAAAATTCATGGCAAAGCTGTTTATTTAATGACAGAAATAACCATAACTTTATACATCTAACACCAAACAGAACAGTGGAATGTTCAAATCCATTATATTCACAGGAGCTTTGTAGGAATACTTTATAAACAGACTGTTTCTCATGAGCCCCATTAAAAAAGAAATTTACCTTCTACAATCTCAGCTGCATGTGTACAGTCTGACATCACAGACACTGCAGAGCCTTTTGCACTCTTAACTTTTTTTCAAAATACAGTTCTTAAGGCAACCTCACAAATCCAGGAAGAGCAAAACTAAGAATAACATTCCCTTCTTACCTCATGCCATCCTGAAAAAAGTAAGGCACAATAATGTGTGTTGAGAAAAGGGCATCATGATCACTGACATTCCTGGCTTGACTGTGTTTGTGGAATAACTTTTTTGTAATGTTATTATTTGATTGGCAGGTTATAAAACCAATTCATCAAGTTTCATGTTTAGAGTAGATATTAAGGTTTTAAACTGAAATTAACAACTCTTTTTCCTCCTTGCCCGTAGGTTGGACAGATAAATAAATAAATGCACCCAAGGATTAAGGTGCTAACAGTATTGTTTTGTAAGAGAACACGCTAAATATACAACTGTAAATCTAGCAATATTTACAAGGGGTTTTCCTGAATGTTTCCTCACTACATTATCAATACATAATTGTATGCAAGTTACAAAGTTTACCTAACAAGCTAGTAAAATCTTTTTCACATTATAATGGCTATAAGAAGTATTATGCTTACCTGTTTTCAGTTGATAACAAAATGGACAGATAGCTCCCCAGTGCATGTCCATAATGTTTCTGTGCACACAAATCTTCAGCAACTACAGCTAGCAGTATTTTTCAAGTATACATTTTATTCTGGTTTTACTCCATATTTAGAGATAGCCACTATTATAAAGGAGGCTGCAAGACGTATGCAAGTAATAGACTATGTTTTTTGCTCTGTTAGAAGACATTCTGACCTTTGGAGTACAGTGACCTACAGCTCAATTTTGAACCAAGGCAGGAATTCAGATTAAAATTAGTTATTGCTTTTGAGAGAGAAACATTTCTAACAGCAGTTTACATGCCTATGAAACCTAGAGCAGTGGTCTTTACAGCTTAGTAAACTGAGATGTTCAACTGGTTATGTGAAGTAGAGTATTTACAGAAACACTAATTCAAATGAGCCAGCCATTTTGACAAGGATTTTGCTCCACATTTTGTTCGACTGAGAGAGAGCCAGTCTTGTGGGTTGATCCAAAAAGTTGCTATATAATCAACCTTGTGAGACTATCTAGCAGGGGCCGGTGGTTTTGGCTTCTTTTGGGGCAATCTTTTATAGATGCTTCAAATACTACATCTTTGAACAAATTGTACCTAGACTCCTAAGTCTGCTTTAGTCCCCAACCTAAATGCTCTCAATTTGCATTTTGCAGACACAGTATATTGTAACACCTCTCAGGCTGAAATGAATGTAAAGAGCTAATTCAAAAGGCAAGACAAAGTCAGCCCTCTTCAAGAATGCGCCAAATCCACTTTTTTCTCCGGTTGTACCTTAGCACTCAGTGACAAACCATACATTTCACTCAAATGCTTTAGTTCTGTTGCCTTCTCCTTATAGCAGTGCTTTACTAAAAAGTAAGTTTCAGACATACCGAGCACATAACACTGCTTAATACAAATGAAACAGACAGGCAAGCATTACTGACCATGACAGTAATTTTAGCAAGCATGAAAAATAGATGCAAGTGCTAGACAAAAGAAGCTTGTGCTTCCGACAAAGCTATAAGGATTCAGTTCACGAAGAGATACCAGGAAAAATATTGCATAGAATTTCTATAATATTAAAACAGCTTCCCTTCAGTTTAATATATCCTTGATTCAGAAAGGTGACGCAACGCATGACAGTTAGGAGCCTGCCCTAACAGAGTTTTCATTTTACAGGACTGCAATAAGTCCTTTGGAGATTTTCAGCCAGGCTGTAACAAATCTGATTTGTGTGTGATCTCACAACACTTATTCAACTCAGTTCTGACCTGGCCCTCCTCTCACGTCAGAAGTCCCAAGTGTCCAGAGAGACCAATTAGCCACAGCTGGGTGAAAACCAGATCAGAAGTAGTTTAAATTTCTTCAGCATATTTTTCACACCATTGCCAAAAGAAACATACCGATTACATTTAACTGTTTTCTCTGTGGAAATTTCTGTTGAACTGAATATAAAAGCTTAGACTTTATCTACATCCACCATAGTTTGCCTGCCTTGGGCACATCAAACAAAACAGAGGAGCACTTTATTAACACAATTAAGTAATAAAATAAGTCCCTTATAATAAGTGAAGAGCAGTTTCGTCCTACTGTACTCATGCAATTAACCGCTCTTCACTGGGACTAAGGAGCTCATTATCACTGCCTGGCTTGTAGTCTCACAGACTATTGTTTGCAGAATCTTTAGGTGTACAACCTGTTACACACCGATTTCAATAATTTAGGCTAATTTTGCAAAATTCCTGTATACACTTTAGAGATCAATACACAATTATCAAGTCTCCCCAAGGCAAAAGAACCCAAACGCAACACTTCAAGCCCTTCCCAGGGAGTAGTGTGCACTTCATGGTGCAGTCTAACATCCCCCGATCTGGGGAGTAAAAAGAGAGGACAGAACCTGCCACTGAAAAACCATTCACTGACCTTGATGAAATGCATTAAAACAAAGGCAAAAAGCTAGTGAAAGAGTTGTACAGTTCTAATTTTTTTAGCACAATTTCATTGTAAAAGTTAATTAAAAAATTACATGATACTAACGGCCATTACACAGGAAACATTTTATTTTTAGACCTTTTTTGTACTAATTGACTATGACCAGTGCAGAAATCTTAGTCTTCAAACCCTTGGTCCACACACTGAAATATCTGAGTTTGGGGGGTTTTTGTTTGTTTGTTGTTGTTTCTTTTGGGGGGGGGGGGGGGGG